ACTGTACTTATTAGAACACATCAGTGTCAAGGTCAATATTTGGTTGTACATCCCTTGAGGCAATAATTGCACGATGTGGGCAACAGCAAAGGTCTTCAGTCAAGACCTTAATCAGCTAGAACATATTAGAAGGAGAACATTATGTACTCTATTCAACTCAAAGAAGGCCATATAAGCCCAGGTCGTTATTCCACATTGCATGTCCTAATATGTATGGTCACTTAAAATCATTGTGTAATGTACTGTAGTTGTTGGTCATCCCCTGTTTACTTTCATCTTCCATTATTTGCAAATTGGGGTAATTCAATAACATGCAATGAGCGTTTACTTACAGATATACAGTATACGGCTAATATATGACTCCAGGCAGCAGAAGCAGAGTGAGGAAAGTAGTGTGATTTCACATGAGAGTTACACTAGGCAGTTCTCAAGTTCAACAGAAAAAGCTGATCTGAAAATATACTGTATGAAAGTGATATTTCTAATTTGTCATAAAACATGTTCCCATTTTCTGTAAAGAGTGTGATTGCACTTGACAGCAGTAGCCTACTCTACTTCAGGAGCCTCATACAGAAAGTGGTGGCAGAATACAAGTTTATTGCATTGACAGGGCCACCACTTACACATTCCTGGCACACTATCTGTGTTAGAAACTCGTGGTGCTCATGAGCTCATAAGCTGTCATGGTGCTTTTTCAGGGATCAGTTGAGACAACCCCCGTGGAGCATGCAGTCGACTCTGAGCCTTCAATCTCTTTCACACCCCTGAGCACCTCAGTCACACAACAAAGGCATATCAAACCCACCGTGCCATGCTCTCTGTCCCCAGACAGGGGGGCATTTGAGCATTTTCATAAACCCCAGGGACTTACATCATTGCAACCGGCTCATTCTTCACAAGGTGTTCTGTTACACCTGCGAACGCTCAAAGAAAGAATGTCTGGTGACTGAGCCACAATATGACCGAGATTATACTCTTTCTGTTTTTCAGTTGTGTTCCAAAATGTAATAGGACACAGTTACATCTCTGTTGCTTATTGTAGCTGGTGACTGACGCTGTGTGAACTAAGGTGTGGTTTGCAGTTTGCTCTTCTATTATCATTAAGGATAATGTCCATCAGATTTTATGAATTTTTGGATAAATAAAGAGGCTAATTCACTTGATGCACACATTCTTGAACAGTTTTTGAACTAAGGAATGAGGTGAACAGACCCAAATTGGTCTCCTTCTCCTTTCTCCACTGATACCAGTCCATCTTGGTATCAGGTCAATGGCTCTTGAAGTTGCACATCCCTTGATGGACAAGGTGATACTGCATTGTGTGGCCAAAAGCTTTCTTATTTCAGTTGTTGTTGATAGTTCCACACTTGACAGTGACCTTGAGTGTATCTTTAACCTTTTCCTTTGATGCCTACTTTAAGTGCTGGTTAAAAGAGAGATGAGAGAACAGAACCTGGAGAGAGTGACATCCAATCCCATTTTACCTTGTGAGTTAATATCTAATGGTGCTGTTAGACATTTGCATGTCCTGTAACATTTGCAGGTGGCTGCGGATCTTTGGTTTCTACTCTCTATTTCAGAACATCAAATATCTGCTCAGTACACTTTGACTGTCCAGGACATGTTTGAGCAGTATTTTTCTGATATTTCTTGAACAGTCTCTTAACAGCTGAAAGCAAACCTCACATTATCCAGATATCTCCAGTTTGCTCAGGCTATCTTTCTTTTAAGAAGATGTTCACCGCCTTTGAAAATATACAGCTTATTGTGAATCTCCATTTCACTGACATCACCGTAAACTGGAGCCTATTCTGACCTGCATCTGCTATCATAACCAGCAGTCCTATACTTAAACACCGAACCAACTATTTCAGTCTTAGGGGTTGTCTATTAACTGGGTTCAGATATGTAAATGGTGTTCTTTCCTAAAATCTCAATCCAAAATTAAACCACACTCGCATTATTGACTTCACACCAGCAGACAATACTGTCTTTCAGCCTGCTTAAAACCAGAAAAGCAAGACAGAGCGTCCCTGTCCAAATATACCAATACTAATGAAAAGCTCAGGCTCAGGCTAATTCCTACAGGGCTTTGTTACATCCACTAATTAGATCTACTTATTAAAAAGATTATTTGGCATCTAGGGATACCAATATCTTTGATACATTCTTAAATCAAAAACTATAAGAATCCAGAGAAACATACACATGGAGCAAGAACTGGTTAATGAAGAACAGCATGATATCTTATGGGGCATAAACTCTAATTGGGCCTCTGTACAGTAAGTAGTGGTTTGCACTAGGGATCTGTTTTAGGCCTGTTGCACTTCCTTAAATGTACCGGCGATTAAGATTTTGATATGATTAGGAGGCTATTTTAATTTTTTTTTTGAATAAGGGCAGCACAGGGATGCAGTAGTTAGCATTTCTGCTTCGTAGCGCTGGGACCCTGGGTTCAATTCTGGACCTGGGGTGCTATCTGTGTGGAGTTCTCCCCATGTTTTCATGGGTTTTCCTTGGGTGCTCCAGTTTCCTCCAACAATCAAAAAACATACTGGGTGGTTAATTGGCCTCTCTGAAAACTGTCCCTGGCGTGAATGTGTCTGTGTGTCTGCCCTGCGATTGACTGGTGTTCTGTCCACGCTGCACCCTGCCTTGCTTCCCGGGATGAATTCGGACTCCCCCATGACCCTGAGCAGGTTAGAAGATAGTTCAAGTAAGGAGCTGCGTCAGCCTGTGTAGGCTGCAAGTAACAAGTAAAGGTTTATTCCATGCTGAAAAGAGAAGAAAAGAAACACAACATTTTGGCTCTGGAGCCTTTTTCAGGTGTGATCCCCTCTTTTCAGCATGGAATAAACCTTTACCTGCTTCCTTGGTTAGAGGATGGATGGACAGAGTGGTAAAAAAAAAACAGAAAGGCAGCAAGGAAAATATAAAAAGATTTAGACAAAATTATGGATTTTGATCATTACAAAGTGATCCATGCAGATGGAAGGAACATGTACTGTAATATACTTTACATTTCATGTGAGTGGTTCTGAACTGCAGGAAGCTACACATACAGTAAAAGGGGTCAGGGTGTTTATGCTGAATCTGGGCTTTCATCAACAGAATGTAGGGAAAGAATGAAAAAGCAAAAAAAAATGCTTGTGCATTCAGCAGCATTTAAATCCGTGGAAGCTGTCCACAAACTTTACAATGACCGAGAAAGCATTTACAGTAGCTGCACTTTTGGTCATCATACTGTACCACAGAAAGTATATTATAACCGGTGTATATAATCAGTATATTATATATCAAAGGAGTTTTGACCCAAGTATTTGAAATCCTAAGGGGTATATTGTAGATAGGGGCAACCCAGGGGCCTATTTCTTGTGAAATAGCAAAGAAAGTACACACCGTCACAAACAGAACATACAGTATAAGTGAATTAAGTACAAGGTGAATTGATTAAGTGCACTTCTTTTTAGAAAGAGTCCTGGGTGTACCCTGGCAGGTGTACTGAGACCCAGACTCTGTACTCTTTAAAAAAAAAACCAGATTGAGAAATATTTGGATTCCATTATAATTAGCCCCTGAACTACAAAATGTGAAAAGGGGGGTGAATAGTCAACTCAGAACTGTGGGGTGCAACTTTGAATTGAACATAGAATTTGGTATTCTAAATTTAGGTAAAATGTGTGATAAAAAAATCACCCTATACATATTTTTCTACTAATTATGATTCAGCTTTCTCTCCCCATGAATTTCATTACCAGTCATTAATAGGCACTATAACATCCCAAGCATGGTGATGAAAAATTATTTCACCTAATTTAAAAGTCTGATATTGATGACAACTGCTTTTTAATACCTTATCTTGTAATGTATTTATGCTAATTTCAATGTTCAACATCACCTATTGAGCAACAGGTTGTGCTTGCAAACAGACTATACACTGTAATTCAGTGTACCTACTTGTTTTTAAAAACAACATCCATTCATAAAAAAAAGTATGACATGTATTGAGACAAAAGTACCTGTATCCTCCTTAACGGTGTTAAAGGGCCAGATATTATTTAACAAATAATTCAAACTTTCTTTAAGTTTCCCACGTAATCTACAGTACAGTATGTGAACATATTATGGGCGTCTTTCTAAAATTAAGTTAGATTGACTAGAAGCACATTCCTACACGATTCTTTTACAATAATGCGCAATTTTGGTATGACAATAACGGAATGAAAACGTATTGTAACGCAACGGGGGCTCAGGCGGGCGCCCTTGCCGCATTAGGTCGGCCCCTGCACCGTCCGGGGCTCGAACCCGGGACTTCCGCGTCTCTCTGCAGCGACCTAGCCCCGTGAGCCAAAGAGAGATCTCTCCACAGCCCAGTAGCTGTGGTCCTGCTATCACAGGGAAGGCCTGTGACGTCACCCGCTCTGGTACGCCGGCTCTTACACCCAGTGCTTGTCGGCCGTAAGCGTTACAGTATTTATCTAGCACGAAGTATGCAACAGAAATTAAAAGGCAGTTAACAAAAAGATAAATCCACTCTCCTTCGTTAATTTAATTGCTGTTTTTTGACATGTTGCCAAAGGTCGGTTCTGTAGACTATTTTTTAGGAACTGTAGGTGCGGCTACCTCAAATCGGGCTACTGTGGATATTGAGAACTTAATCATTGAAGACTTCTAAAACACACCAAAAGTATTTTTTGACAGGAATAATTTGACCATATACATTAACGACCTACAGTACATATGGAAAAATGCCATCATTTATATAATCTGCATTCTACGCAACAATGTTTAATGTCGTATTAAAGCAACTTTCGTGAGACCTAGGGCACGTTGTTACCAATCACAGGTACATACTGTACTGTATGTAGCGTAAAACACTGCTGAGAGCCCATTCATATTAATCTCCGACCAACTGAACCTCGGTCGCAATAATGCCATCAAAACAGCGGTTGAGCCCAGCAGACACCAGACTGTAAATTATCTCTCTTAAGGCACCTTACCCACAACATGTCTGTAATTGCAGCACAAGTCCTCTGGGGGGTTGAGGTCTCACCGAGAAAGAACAGTTGCGTTTCATCTGTGTTCTGTTCTGTCCTTTTTTCTTTTTTCAACCAGAGAGACGTCTCATCGCTGGCTTCACGTGTGACTAAGCAATAAACATTTCTTCAAATCTTAATGAACGTCACGAATACTGGGCAATGTTCGTGAAAGAAAAGTAAAAACTAACCTAAAAAATAACCTAAATGAATACAAAAAGGACACAGCTGATTATGTTAAGGTACAAGTCATACTTTTGTTTTCATGAATCATCTTTCGAGTGTCCTGTTATCATTTTTTGAGGCTCGAGAGATCCGTTTGTGTTTTTCTGTTTTTGTTTTTAATCTAAGTTAATTGTGCCCTTACAGCACGAAGCATTCTGTGAGTAACAGAGTGACATTTTAAATTTTTTGGAGTTAAGCAGAAAGTTTGGATTAAACAAAGATAGTTTAGGAATATACTGTATGATGCCAAAGAGGGATTCGGGATTTGCCAACACAAATTATTTTCTCATCAGAACTGAAATTAGTCGTGCCCTTAGAAGACGGAAACTATCGAAAATGTATTAAAAAATTATATTGTCATTATAATTTAAAAATAAAAGCATTGTTTAAAATAATCTTTATCCACGTTTTGCTGTGAGCAGATTTTGTATGGAATAAAATAGTTACCAATACCTGTACCAACCTTTAGAGTTTTATCTAAATGTAATGCTCAAATATACAGTACGCTATAATTAGTTATGAACTAAAATAAAAACAACGGTATTTATAGAAATAGGGGGATGAATATCAATAATTATAAAGTGAAATTATAAGCTGCAATACATCAACAACAATTAATAATTTCAGTACAAGTCAAACAACAGCAGTAACAAAAGCAACAATTGCAGCATTACCGTAGTTGTAGGTCCGAATGAATAAGGAGATCATATTTTGCTCCTTCGATGGATATCTTGACATCTCAAATATTTGTAGGGTAACGCTCATAAATAAGACATTAATACTTTGAGCATATGAGACGTTACCGCGGGCCAGGATTTTTGTGGCGCTAACAGCGTACGGAGATACCTGTACAAGCAGGCTGTGTGCATTTACAGTGCGTGCACCTGTATGAACTGGAGCAACAGTGCTGTTGCTGAAAGCACAACGCTCGCTCACTTTCTAACTAAACTACATAGTCATGCCCCTTTATCTACGGGATCTTAACTGCTTCTTCTAGTACGGCACTTGTTCTGGTGCAGCTCTTTATTCTTTAGTATGACGTAAAAGTGGGCTGGCGATGTGCTAAGTGGTGTAGTTTAGAATGCTATCGTGACATGCAAAACATCACAAATCCGTGAGACGAAAGATAGAGAGCGGTTAGTCCTAAAAGTGCGGATATAGTCAAATGCAAACAGTGCAAGGTTGGATCATTTAAAACAGGGCAGGCGTAAGAAGACAGCCTCTAGTGATCGCTCCAGCTGTGGTTCTTCTTAAATTAGTTGCAGATAAAGAAAGACAGTGGCAAAACTTCTGCTACAGTACCTTCTACCTTTTTGCTAAAATCGGTTGTTCATAATTAGAATGTTACGTGTTTTAGCATTTTACCAAAGAACTGTTCATTGGATCTGATTTACATTGTGCAACGACTGCTAGCATTGTTAAGCGTATGGACCTAAGAGAACATTCAAAATTCAGTCATCTAAAAAGTGAAGAGTGATCGCATCTTTTACTAGAAAAAAAAGCTATGGAATTTTTTATAGCACATCTTTTCCGTTCGTTAATGGTTGTGACTTTGTTTATGCAAAGGTAAGTTTATTAAAGCTGAGATTTCATTCCACATTACCTTTAATATCCAAAGGGACACGTAAACCGGTGTTGTATAACATTGTAATGTTTTGTGCAATGTCTTATTCTGCTTCTACTGTATATTTACTTTGCAAAAATTAATACAAACGTATTTGAATAATATTTTGTAATGTCCAATGTAAGTTTCACGAAATATGTGGCCCTTTCCTAAAATTCTCTGAACAGGTTAGAATTTTACACATACTTTGTACTGAGGCTCCATCTGTGCTAAATATGCACGCACACCACGAACACGCAGACTGGTACCTGAGTGGCAGACTACCTGAAAACTGACAGGTTCAACTATTTAAAGTAAAATAAAAGCCTACTTAATGTCTTGGCTGTCCTTAAAAACTGTTTAAACGAGCATCTAGTGATTGCTGTAGTCTCCAAACAAAACTTATCCCTTGGATCATGCATGTCTTATAAGAATGTTTAATTTCAGAATATAAAAAATAAATATAGAAAGCATCAATACATTACACTGTACTCATAGACGTCTTTAAAAATAAGATACCTGTAGTAACAGTGCTCTTAATGAAAACTATTTTCTTGTCTGTGCTGGAGCTGCAAGTAACCAAAGTTTTGTGCCCTGTTGCACGAGAGCATGAAATGACAACATCTACTACGGTGCTTTTAAATGTAATTAAAAAAATAAAGTAGGATATAAATATCTAGCTTGAGAGTCTTAAATCAAGCTAAGGGATTTAATTAATGCTTTTATTCTGCTTAGGTGGGCGGTAGAGTGGCTATTTAGTTTTGCTCCATCCTTAGATTTAATCTCTTAATGTATTTATGAAGCTGAGTGGTATTGCGGAATCGTATTTTTATGATACGGGCAGCCTTATCCTGAGGCTGTACAGTAGTTAGCATTTGTAAGGAATTCATTTGAATAATTAGGTAAGGTCCTCATCCAAGTCTGCGGTTTCTATGCCAAAACTAGTGTGTTGTTTTCCTGTACTAAATGGTTAAATGCGAACGTTTCAATATTCCATTGTACTAGTCTTAAAATGTTTTAATAAACTCAACATAAAAATGTCTACATAACTTATTGTAGCATAGTCAAATTAAAGAGATTAAAAGCGCGCCCATTGTTGACAAATGCCTTAATAAGTTATTGTATTCAAAACAAATAAAACCAAAGGGCACACCTTATCAAATGCGACCACAAAACCGATAATTGAATTAGTCAAATATTTAAACACAATGTTGGTGTGAGTTTAAAGTATTGAACTGATGTTTCAGATTCTAATAAAATGTGCACTCGAATGTAGATACCAATACGTTTTTGAGAGTAATGGTCAGACCAATATTGTTATTGTATTTCTAATGTAAATGAAAGAACATGTTATGTCTAATAGTGTTACTGTCATGCAAAGTGTTTCAAATTATGACGATTAATTATTTTAGCATTTTGTGCATACATATATTTCCTATACGTTAACATGCTTGCTGGTCTGGGTGGCAAAAAACAATAAAAATAAGGAAGTTCAATTCACTCCTCAGAAATCATTGCTCAAAGATCAGAAGTTTATTCAAAGAAATTAGGTGTAGTAACTCTGCTATGCACTGATTGAAAATTGTGATCATCAGGGCATGCCTTAAAATCTGTTCTAATGTGTGTTTCAGGGTAGATTCAAATGAAATTTTGGGACTGAAGATCCCATTTGATCCAATTCTCAATGCAAATACGGTGTGCTTGACTCTCCCTGGTTTGACACGACGGCAACTGGATGTTTGCATGCGGAATCCGGATGTCACAGCATCTGCAATTCAAGGGATCCAGATTGCTATCCATGAATGCCAGCACCAGTTTAGAGGTCACAGGTGGAACTGCTCCAGTCTCGAAACAAGGAACAAGATTCCATATGAGAGTGTCGTTTTCAGCAGAGGTAAGGCGCACGAAAAGAAGAAATCACACTGCACCAGAACCTGCTAAGGACAAACAAGATCTTATCAAACGAGTAGTAAATCAGAGCTTGTAATGGTTCTTTCACATTATTATGCTAATTCTTGAAAAATTCCAATGTACTGTGTTATTATTCATGGTGTGGCTTACCAATTTTATTGGCAATGTCCCAAATTTAGCAAGAAAAAAAACATACTGAAATATTGTTAATTTATTTCTGGTACTTTTGCATGGTCATAAATCACTGTCACATGACAATGCTGTACAGTATGTGCTTTAACTTCCTTAATTCTTATTTATATAACATCAGACACAACATCAAAGCCTATTTCATATCATATTTTTAGAATAGACATTTGGTATGTTTTTTCTAGTCCTTGATTTTAATGAAGAATTTATATTTTATTGAAACACTGAATGTAATACTGAGATATAAATGCATTCAAATGTATCGAATAGGCCTCTTCAAGCTGGCTAATGCTTTTCCTTTCACCAGAGCAACTGCTGTGAATTTGCTTTCAGCACTTTCCCAGCTCTCTGTGGCAAAGCAGAAACTTGTTTAGTAGGTTTTTATAACCTGGAGTGACAGATTTCTTAAATCTTTAATTCATTTTCCCACTTCTTCAGCTATCAGCTCAGCCGTGCGTGCGTCTCACTTTAAATTATTTGTTAGTTTGATTTGTTCCAAGTCTCTCCTACTCAGTTTGAGAGTAAACCTAAAACAGCATTTTCATGTCAGTGTCTCTAAGCTGCTTTTAAGTGCCATCCGCCCTCAAAGTAATCCTGGGAGTAATGAAAAAAATAGAACAAGTACCAATGTGTTAGAGGAAAAGTCAATTGAATATCATTCATTTTCTGATCCACAGTGTCCCTGACATTTTCTAAATTTAAGATATTTAGGCCTTTGGAGAAGTTCTGTATATTTTTTTTAATGACGCAGATTCCAAACATTGGGCTTTTCACACTTGATTAAACATTTTAAAGATTATTAGGCATTGCTTTCTGTAAACTGGACAAAAGAAAAGACTGAGGTTAGGTGAGAGTGTATTTAAAGCAGTGTGGCAAGTTCCAATCTGCTCTCAAAGTCTTATGCCTGGATCTTTTTCCAAACTTGGAGGGTTCATAGATAGTTTAATACATGTTAAAGCCAGCAGACTTTACACCAAATAATAGCATGTTTTTTTCTAATTAATTTATTTTCAATACGCAAAAATGTGTCTGCTTATGTCCAGAGATGATGTATTGAGTGACAGGCATCACTATTTTTAAAAGGGAACCAAGAGAATGATTATTTACTGTTTTACATGAGAAAAAATGTCTGTTTAATGGACATTCAAGGTATACATCACCATGTGATGGATTACCTGGTAAAGATTTACTTGAACTAGTCATATCTCCTTTATAAACTGTACGCAGCACAATATACCAACAGGCATTAATCACATGCTTATAATGTCATTTACACAAATTCTTGGAATGGATTATGTATGTTGGTATATTTGGTTGTGTACTGTTTATAAAGGAGACATAACTGTTTTATGGCCTCCTTTGAGTAAACTGTTAAAATCAATCCATCACATGGTGATGTACAACATGAAAGATGATACAACTGACGCTTTTTAAATCTCATTAAAAAAATCTCTTTCCTACAACTCTGGCAGGAGTTATACAGGAGTATTATACATTTATGAATATTGAAAGATCTTATGTAGAAAAGTTAATTAAGTATGGATGGAAAAGAAAAGAACCTGCATCCTTCTGAATATCTTCCAGAATTCTAAAGATAACATTTCCTAAAGTAAAAGAAAGTAATATTATTGATAGATATTGAATTTGATGAGAGTGTCTATTGGTCTTAAATTTGACGATTTAACCCCAAAATTACATTCAGAGTGGATCCTTTTATAGTCAAATCCAGTTTCCCAGGTCATCACAGTCAGATTTCAAGGATTCAATGTTAAATACATATCAATGTAAAGTAGGTCTGAACACAGAATTTTTTACTTTTCATTGTGCTTTTTAAATTAGTCATTTTAGCCGCTTGTTTCGACCATGTTTTTGAATATAACCTTGGCCATGCAGTGGCAAATGGATAAACTTAAAGACTTCATGCCATTTTCAAACCAAGTAATTAAAAATCAAAAGGGGAAACACGATCACTATTAATTATTATTAAGCCTAGTTTAATTTCCGCATTTTCCAATGTAAACTCAACCATTCACATGAAGGTATCAATGAGGTTTCTTTCATGTGTGTCACAGATACCCAGACTCTCATACTCTTGTTAAGTTAACTGACCTTGTTACATCCAGGGGAGTTTTCTCCTTTAAGGTTTTCTCGCATCTCTGTTTTATATTCTTCCTGTCCAGGAAGGTGATCTGGAAGCACAGATGTTTTGTAGGACCTCAGTGTATTACAGTTAGGGGTTATTAGTTGTGAAGATCAATGGCACAGAAAACAAGGGAAAGTGAAATGTGTTTTGTCTTTTACTGAGGAGATTAAACAAACTTAATTCAGGAAAGCCCTGAATTTAAACTAATGGGACTATTTTGCCTGGAGACACGAGGCATTCAAAGGGTGCTTTTATAAATGCTGACTAGAAGGGAATCAGACTGATGGAGCTGTCCAGTCATAAAACTATTGAATACGCTAATTAATTGAGACACAGATGTTCAACAGAGATTCCTCCAGTTTAATATGTTATAATACAGCATTCTGTAACACAGAATCAGGTATTGCATTTTTATTGCAAGAAAATCAAATACAGAAAACAGCTGTATATTTAATTTAATACATGTTAAAGCCAGCAGACTTTACACCAAATAATAGCATGTTTTTTTCTAATTAATGTATTTTCAATACGCAAAAATGTGTCTGCTTCTGTCCAGAGATGATGTCTTGAGTGACAGGCAACACAATTTTTAAAAGGGAACCAAGAGAATGATTATTTATTGTTTTGCATGAGAAAAAATGTCTGTTTTTTTAATTGCTGTATATTTAATTGTTTCACACTATAACAAGTATTAATTTTATTTTCCGAATTCACTGATTCCTGAATACACATACAATATCGTTGGGATTGGGATAACTAGCATTGATCTGTTGGTAATGAACTAGAACTAATTTAAGAAAATTAGCAGAAACAAATAGGTGCTGAATGAAGTCTCAGTTTTGCTCACTTACAAAATACTGTGATTGTTTCAATAATAATGTTTCTTTATTAGCCCTATACAATTTCTTGCATTAGTAATTTGTCTTTTCACATACTCCAGCTTTTCTCCATGGAGACATAGACACACAGACAGGGAGAGAAGCTTGGGGTCAGAGCACAGGGTCTGCCATTGTACAGTTGGGGGTTAAGGGCCTTGCTCAGGGGCCCAACAGAGTAGGATTCTTCTGCTAGCCATGGGATTTGAACTGGCAACCTTCCAGTCACAGGCGCAGATCCTTAGCCACAGAGCCACCGCTCCCCCCCAATAAGCCATCTGTCTAGTGTGATCAGGCTAAGTGCTCACTTCCTTCTGGTGTACTTTCCTGGGGAGTTTTTCCACCCCTCTCCTCAACTTGATGCTTATTTAGCTTTTATTCCTGAAAAATATTTTCTGTATGTGCAAAAGAGGTTTTGTTTTTTGTCCTCCAGAGATTACACAATTTGCAAGAGCTTCAGTTCTTTCATTTTCTTTTTGGAAAAGGCGGGGTGCTCCACCGTGTCTCAGTTGTCAAGGCATCTCTTCAGCTGTTGTCCTCTTGCTGTTCCAGGCTTCAGGGAGAGCGCCTTTGCATATGCCATTGCGGCAGCAGGTGTGGTCCATGCAGTGTCCAATGCCTGCTCCATGGGGAAGCTGAAAGCCTGCGGCTGTGATGAGAAAAGGAGAGGGGATGAAGAGGCTTTTCGGGTCAAGTTGAACCGGCTGCAGCTTGAAGCCATAAACCGAGGGAAAGGCATGGTTCATGGTGTCATGGAGCACATCCCAGCTGATGCCCCTGGGCCCCAGGACTCTTGGGAATGGGGGGGCTGCAGTCCCGATGTGGAATTTGGAGAAAGGTTTTCTAAGGACTTTCTGGATTCGAGAGAAACATACAAGGATATCCACGCAAGGATGAGACTTCACAACAATAGAGTTGGCAGGCAGGTGAGAAGTTATACTCATCTTCTTTACAGATTGGCTGAATTCAATTTGACCTCACTGATTGCTTATGCTCGTTTTATAGCAATAGTCTTACAAAGTCACCACAGATAGTTTTACTTACCTAATGTTGTCAGACTGTGTAAGCAGTCTTAAACAGCTACAATTTCAAAGACGGCAAGTGCTGGAAGAGGGATCAGATTTAGCTGTTCTCTCTCCTTCAGGGGTATATTTAACATTCAGTCACATTCAGGCAATCCATAGCAAGTCAAGTAAAGAAAGAGAGCTAAAAAAATTAAGTTAACGAGAATATTATGTTACATCAGCAACTGTATTTCCCATAATTTGTGGTAATGAAATTGTAAATTCCTCCTTGGATGTATTGTGCTCCAGGAGTTGGACAGTGCATTGCAATATACAGTATATTCATTATCTCACATCTGGTTTGGCTGGATTTCATACAGTAGATGATATTGGTTAGGAGTTATTTAACATTGTCATCACAGCACAGGAGAGGTGGATATATAAGGTCCTTATTACAGTACATACATTTTTCAGTTCTTGGAAAGAATACCAGCCTTCACCTCAATTAATATGACAGAAAAAAATTTAAACTCTGCCATACATATTAAATCCCTTGAGGAATGTAGCACCCTGATTTGACAGCTTTGCCAGTATTACTCCGAATGAAGTTATTCTGTGATGCAGAATAACACTGGACAATGTCTCCTTCTAAAAGTTGTTAAATGTGTGCATACTTGCTTTACAAATGTCTAGGAAAGAGTATAGCCTACCTGCCCATTTGTCGAGACAAGAGGACATTAAATGAACTGCTTACAGATGTTAGAGAAAGCTAAGTGGTTCTGCAGCTGCATGTAGATCATTTGGATAAGATGTGTACAGACTTGAGTCATGAGACACACTGCTTTATCATAACCTTTCGTTGTTGGCTGCTTGTTTTAGAATACTTACATGGTCTTCTTCTTTTCATGAAAGATGACCAAGTTGAGTTGTTGAACTGCTAACCGGTCACATAGCCTTTGGCGATATTGATTTGCATCTTAGAACACTAACGTTTTTTCTGCTATACTATTATTTTAGTTTAACCCTTGCTTGTTATTTTTTAACTTAATCCTTTGTGTTCTCCAGATGAATCAAATAATTTCAGTGATGACCTAAACAGTATCCATTTACAGTATTAAGCAGTAGTATGTCTTTTACGGGAGCATTCTGAGTGAAGTACCTTGCTTAAGAGTACAAAAACCCAAGATTTGATCCCATAAATGCCTGGTTCAGAGTTACGAGCCCCTAATGCTCACTGCTGGCTGCCACATGCTACCATATACTGATAAAGTTTTATGTGAAAATTTCATTGAAAAGAATCAGATAAAACAAGGACCCTAGTCAATAATGTGTTATTCAATAATAACAATAATAACAATTATTGACCCTGGTCAATACTTTCTTACGTACATGTAACATTTGTCTTATGTATACATACAGTATAAGACAGTTATAATAGTTGAGTATTGAGTATAGACAAGACTAAAAACAAGGGAAGTAGCTAAAGTTAGATGAGAAATCCTGTAGGTGGTGATGCAAGATTGTAGATAAGTACTGCCACTGTCCATCCATAAAGAGAAAGTTGCTTGCCCTTGTGAGGATTGCAGTAACTTGGATCCTCTCCTGGATGCACAGGGTACGAGGCAGAGCTGAGAATGCATGACTGCACTTGATCCGGAGAGAACGCTTTCCATCTTGAACACTAATGCTGCCTTTCCATTGTTGCTATTTCTGGACAGATTCCTCCAATGATTACTCTGTCTTATTAGATTATTGTGAACAAAATGCAAAATACCATTTTACCACAGCAAAAAAAAAGGATCTAAATGTGTTTTAAGAATAAAAAATATTCCCAGAATTCATCAAAGGAGAAACTCATGTTTGCTTATATCTCTAGCATGTGCACAGCAGCAGAGAATGTTGTATATTGTTTTATTGTTTCTAAACATTGAAACATGGAAGAAGACAGCATAGCTTTAATATACGTATTATCTTCTAACACTTAAGATCTATTCCTGCTTTAACCAAAGGTGATCATAAAAACTAGACAACTGCTACCAGCTTAAATGAAATATATCAGACCTTTAACCAACTTATCTAGAGTCACTTTCATCAGTAGTGCATAGCACATTGTAGTTTCTGAATACACTGATATACAGTTTCTATACAGCATGATAGCGAGAGTTTTAGTTACAGAGAGTTTGTAACATTTTCATGGGTAATTGCTTCTTGTGTTAAAAGTAGGATTGTATAAAATCATGTACAGTATATGTACTGTAGGTCAGTTTGCTCTACTGGAACCACATACAGTATGCATAACAAAACATTTCCATTTTTTGTGGACCTTACGCCGTTAGTAATTACAAGGTTAATTATTTTGATATGGAAACTAAATTTTCATCAGTTAAGACTATCAAGAAATTATGGTTAGCATTGCATTACTGAGGCATTCTTGGGTATGACTCTCTAAGTGTCTTTTTTTGCTTTTCGCTGTGCAATGTCAAATTTACCTTCAAGTCTTCTGTGCGGATTTAATATGTACTGTAGTTCACATTATAGTCTTTCTGTGGTCACATCTTTTTTTCTTTACTGATGAAAGACACTCCAGGATGTAAAACAAACCCTTGGAAACTGTTATTATCTAATTGCAAGACAGGCTAGCCTTTTAAAAGAATGCCTTTACTGTAGTTCATTAGAGTTATTGTTGTATCACCTAGAGCAAGTTTTGTGTGGGCCAGTCGTTTGGGCCATGGAACTGATGTTAGTTGGATTCTGTAAGGTGCTGATGGCATTAGATGGATAGTAGAGACATAGCTGAAGCTAATGGCACATTCAGCTAAGACAGTTAACTGAAAGAGAGAGCTTGGGAAGGACAACTTTCATCTCATCTTATATATTGACGAGTGTGGTGTGTGCGGTCAGACATTGGATTTCAAACTCTGTGTTCAGCATACTTCCAAGCACCTAAACAACACAGACGAGCACTGAATACACTACATCAAATGATCCATCCTTTGCCTTGTGTATCGAAGTGTGGCTTCTCTTTGCTTTAATGTTGATCCTGAGCTGTGATACAGAAAAGGTAGGGCTTCTAGTGCATATGGTATAATTAGTGTAGAAACAGGAAATGAGTGAGGGAGACCAATCCTCAAGTAACTGCAATTCATTTGGGCTTCAAAGAAATAAGCCAGCGGTTTATTTTGCCAGCCCCCAACATCTGTCTGTTTACAAAGATATTGTCCCAGCTTCCTGTTTATCAGGAACCAGGACAATCTCCTGCACCAAAATACTGGTGATGTACTGTAGTGCATATTACCAATGTAGGTGATGTAAAACACAGTGTTTGTAACAGTCATGTGCTAGAGATGCCCACATTTTTTACATTTGAAAGACATCTATGTAAAAACATTTCAGTGAAACATTTATTGATAAATTTGATGTTAATTTCTATCCTAAATGTTAAATGTAAGAATTTCTGCTAAAATACACACAGTATTATGGTAGAACAATCATACGTAGTAAGTAAACAAAAAAATACAACATACTCTTTAAAACTTTATCATCTGTTCAAGTGGATTATCAGAATATGATTCTTATTTTTTCTCTATCTCTCCTTGAAAATGATCACCCACATCTCAAACGGTAGTTAGCAAGCCAAATTACTTACAGTGCTTTTGTACACGCAAGACGAGCACTAAATTGCTCATTGTTCACTGTTTCCCTTCTTGTAATTTGGTCTTACATCTTTTCATCAGAGTTTATTTTTGGTTTCCTTGAAAAGAAATCATTTAGTGATTGTTTAGACAAAACACAAAATGTGGAGTTGTTCATCTGGTACAGAAAATGAACAAGATAATGACTCTGCTGTTCCAATGAGTTTAATCATCTAGATAGCATATGATGAAGGAAAACTAAATTTACCTAATGGCATTGCACTGATTCATTTTGGCTGTATTCCCTGTCCCCAGTGGAGAGATATTATGTGACAATACACATTGCTTGAATTTGCGTTAATTTGGATAAAGTGCAGTGCAATTATGACTGTTATGCATTACCATAGTAAGAACATAAGAGTTGCCTGTAATGCACACAGGCCTTTCATTTTCGTATTCTACAGTCAAAACTGTCTAATTGTAACATTAAGGTTTTTGAACAATCCCTGTGTAGGCCAAACACATTAGCCTGATGATCTCTTTCCAATATCAACTGCTGTTTTGTAATGTTGTTTCCTTCTTTCAGTTATAAATCTCTAACAAGTTTCTCTTTATCACCAAATATTCTTCTGCTGGAGGACATAAGAGTTTGAAATAGACATCCTTATTCTGTTTTGAAAAGTCTCTCTGACCCACCAGTTGAATGTTTAATGCCTGTAAATCCATTTTAATCTAATGTACTTAGTCTTGATAAAGATTCAAAAAGTATACATTTCGCATTTTTGTGAGGCCTCATTTATTAAGTGCAAATCTTGTTTTCTTAATTCATAGAGGTTTTAAGTATCTTTTTATTTAGCATGCACCTTATTCTTCTATGATGAATCTGATCTTACTGCAAATGGTACTCACTTAAAGACAGGGCAATTTGCTTTCATTTGAGTATACAGAATATGAAAGATAATAATTAAAAAAGAAAACGCAATAAATCAAAGTGATGTCAGAAGAAATCTATAATGTAAATCCCAAGCTTGCTAACGATAAGCTTCGGTATTAAGGTGGAATGAATCAGAAAATAGCTGCATTGTTTGGGCAGAATATGCTTTTGTGATTGCCAGAAAATGTATTTGGCATCAAAGGTTAATTTAACATTGTGGGAAAAGAGTATAGGCTACTGGGATGTCATAATGCTGGCAGGATATCAAAATGGGAGCTAATCAAAAGAAATATAGCTGCATTAAAAGAAACACTTTTTCAGGAATGTAAACCTAAGTAACAGAGAAAACATGCTGT